AAACCCCCCGGTAAGAGTTAAATGGGCACATTCCTTACGGCGGTTTCGGAGGAGATACGTCAAATTACACGCGGCCGTTACAGTATTACTATATAGTATATTATTTAATGTATTATATGATACTCGATAACATATAAGTAAAGAACAACCATTTCTGTAAATAAAAACAATTAATAGAACAGGAAAAATTAATAGGAGAAATACTCAATTTCATGGTTTAACTCACTCCCACTCTCACTCACTCTCACTCTCAATCTCACTCTCAATCTCCATTAACTCTCACTCTCACTCAGTCACTCACTCACTAACTTGTTCACTCTTACAACTCTCACAACTTATAATTTTATTTCATATTGCGTGCACACCTCAACAATATAGAAGCCAGTATATGGATTTTTCGCAATGTATCTCTAAAGCTAAGATGGCCACTCACACTCCAGATGACTTACCGAGTTGGAGCCAGGAAAGTCGTAGCCGCCCATTACTTTCATGTAAGCCTTCTCCAACAACGAGACCCAGAGTTCGTTACGCAAGACGGAAAAGGAGCACATGAGGTCACCATCTTTGCTCATTGGCAAATAATCGTCAATCACAACCTGTAGAAAACGCTGTATGTTACATACATGCATATACGTCGACATACATGAGCACCCGTTGTGCACAAACATACACATGCACACGCAACCATGCATGCATTATAAACTTGGCAATCTGTAACAAAACTTAATTTTAGGCTATATAATGTTAAGATTATATTTACATAGATTCATTATTTACATCGATTGTAATTATATATATACATAGATCACTATATGAAATTGACACTGCAATCTATGATAATTCTAATATACAAACACCATGCATATACAGTTTCTGCTCTACTCACTGCAATAGCTAGCTCTCTGACTTAATGACAACAGATACCTTTCTTAGAACACCATTTATGTTGAGCTTAACCATATATTTGCCACATGGATTGTATATCGGAACACCGGCTCTGTTCTGTGGATATATAATGCTGAAATAATAAGAAAAACACCCATTTAAATGCGGGAATTAATGTGCTATTTGACATGTACCACTCCATGTTTGCCTTACAAATGTAATTATGTATAAATTGCATTAACATAAGTATTGATTGATCTTTCAGCTATAACTATTTGACAACACCAATTTCTGAGGATACTCCATTTGTTACTAGTAAAAATACACTGTTGTGATAATTACATAAATTTGATATAATAGAAGCATTAAATATGGCTCCATTGTGGAATTATAGCATGACCAGATATTGCATAATAAACAAGAAGGAAATTTATGCTATACACCTCATTGCGAGACAAATTATTTTTTAAACGTTGCTGATACACAGAAAATTCACTCTTAAGTAGTACCTTGTGATGAGTGACTTTTTGAATCTCTTTTCATAGAGGGCACTAATGGCAACTGAGGCAACGAATGAGCAGTCAGAGACAACTGTCTGAAATAAACCACAACTGAGAAAACATCTCAACGTACATGAAATAACTATTTAAGTAGCTTGCCCCAACATTGCACATGTGTAGCGTAGTCCTGAACCCTCTCTATACTGGGTACAGATCCACTGGACTACACCACGTTGGTTCGGCAAGCTTATCACATAAAGCCATTTAGATATCATTTTTGTGAAGGTTTACCCTGCAGCTCAGCCTATCCTCCAAGATTTAAATCCAGATGCACGATTTGCGACATCCAAATGGAAGAAACATGTGACTCCGTCTACACTGAATAGCACAGCATTTTTGGAGGAAACTAATATGAACGCTAGGGTAAGAGCAGCTCGCCCTAATGTTAAACACTACAGAAAATAATTGAAAATCCTGCATACTTGTTTAATACTAAAGCAGTCGACCTTCTGGATCATCTTCGGTTCGTCACGTATGAAATCTTCCGGTCGGACCCAGCGTGCGAACCGCGAAACCTGCTTCGGTGACAGTGCCAACTTCCCATCCTTATCCCTTCACATCAAATTCAAGACACGTCATTAGAAGCAATGAGGATGGAGCACACTGGTATCAGGGGCGAACAATGACAAATTTGTATAATACTGACAAATTACTGACAAAATAATAAATACAAAATGCTGAATTATTGACAAACACTGGTATGAAAGTATAGGAAATGTATGAGAATCAATTACAAAGACGCATTCATACTCACGAGAAAGGCAGAGGAAATGCAAACCGCTCCTTCAAGTCAACCATCATGAATGGCACATACTCCCTTCCATTAATCAACGAAGTTCGTCTGAAAACACCAGTATCATAAAACTGTAGCACCTTATTTACACACTGTAATGAAGAACGCAATGCCCCTATCCACGCACAATGAGTAACACTGATTATTCACAACTACTTCATGTACACTGAGAACGTAGGCACCTTTATAACAACATTGGTTAAAGATGTCAGGTGAGCACCTAACGCTGCCAACATTATTAAATTCTATAATTATTTCTTTAATATTGTTTCGTAAATGTACGAGTTGTGTCTATATATAATGTAGCTTAAGGTCGTGTGCACACCTGAGTACTGCTATTTCCTCCTTTGTGTAGGAACTGCTGACACTCTTTCCCTGATGGGTGTTGGCTGGTGTCTGCCGGCTATTCCTGCAACAAGCAGGTGAATAACATTAATGTATATGAAGCAGCAGTAGAGAGTATCATGGTGTTCTGCATGACATCATTTGCACACACAAATGCACATGTACACACACACGCACATGCGCACGCATGCACGCACATGCACACGCACACGCACACGCACACGCACACGCACACACATACACATGTGCAAACTCACACGTACGATGCAGCGACATATCAACAAACACAAAACAGCACTATCGAATCATAACTGCTGCTTAAGGCCGCCGCACACCAGCCGATTTTTCACGCGATTTGATCGGCCCGATAGAAATCAGCCGATATCGGGTAGGTGTGCGCGTTCATTTGTAGACGATTTTATTTTTATCGGGTGATCGTTCCAAATCAAACATGTTTGATTTTGAACCGATGAGCCGATGAGCCGATTGGAGCATCGTGAGTGGTACCACTGACCGCTGGCTTAAAACTCGTGAAAACCAGAAGCTTCCAATCAGATACAACAGACAATTCAGAGCATCACGGATGATACTACTGACCGGCTGCACGACTGCTGGCCTGAAATCGTGTAAGAAGCTAGAAGATTCCAAACAGACAACTTGTAGACTTATAACCTAAACCCTGAACCATACGATTGCAAGTTTGCAACACTACACGTGGAAAGCATGGCACACTAGCCTGTAATCTTACCGACTGACCCAACCCCCAACCATACGAGTGGCCACTAAGTGACCAGCCAATGTGAATCCTCGAGACCTCTCGGATTGGGACCTCGGACTCAGACCACCGAATGACCGATATAGAACACCACGAGGGACAACAACGAGCACTTGTGAGAAGAGAGTAAGAAACGACAAGAACTTAAAGCCTATGCAAACCCAACTATTTTTTTTTCCAATAAAAAACACTAAACAATAATTTATTACCATAATATTACTTAACTTAAGTATTTGATCAAAAAGTTGTATTTTTGTAACTTTTGAAGCAATAGTAAATCCAGTATAGTCAACGAAATGCAATTCGATTTGAAAGGGGGCATGGCCTAATCATGACATCGATTTGGGAATCTGTGCTGAGCTTTGTGCCATGGCATACACGCTACGCACCAGTACGGTTATTGTTGTGAAGCAGTTTAATAAATAGTAGAAGTCTGTACAAAATCGACCACAAACAACGTTTCCTAGAATGTGAAAGCGAAGAGAGTGAGATTAGAAGTGAGTGAGAAACGATGAGAACTTAAGCTGTTCCTACCTGAACCTCCCTAACGTCCAGCATGGCGTAGGCGTGCGTTGGCACGAGACCGGCTCTATCCGCATCCGTCTCAGACAGCATGCCTGTCGCAAACGTGATGAGAACGTCTCCATTGTGGAACCTGCAACATGTTAGATGCAAACCATGATGAGATCATCTCCATTGTGGAACCTGCAACATGTTAGATGCAAACGTGATGAGAACATCTCCATTGTGGAACATGCAACATGGTAGATGCAAACCGTGATGAGAACATCTCCATTGTGGAACCTGCAACATGTTAGATGCAAACCGTGATGAGAACATCTCCATTGTGGAACCTGCAACATGTTAGATGCAAACCATGATGAGATCATCTCCATTGTGGAACCTGCAACATGTTAGATGCAAACCGTGATGAGATCATCTCCATTGTGGAACCTGCAACATGTTAGATGCAAACGTAACAAGAACATCTCCATTGTGGAACCTGCAACATGTT